GCCTTTGCAATTACTTGCTATGCATCAGAAAGCTGCACAATGACTAGGGATGATAGACAGAGAATCGATGACTTTGAGCTGTGGTGCTGGAGAAGAGTATAGAATATACCATGGACTGCTAGGAGAATAAACAGGTTCATCCTAGAGAGGGTGAGACCAGGCTGCTCCTTGGAGGCAATGATTCTGAAGCTCCATCTGATATAATCTGGACATGTTGCAAGGAGGAGACGTCATGCTTGGGAGGGTGGAGGGACAGAGCAAGAGAGGAAGACCTTTGATGAGATGAATTGACTAAGTGACTTGGGGTAATGGGAGTAGGTGTGTCAGAGACAAAAAGATTGGCACAGGATAGAGCAGGTTTTAGGGTTGTTGTACATAGGGTTACTATGAGTCGCAAGCAACTTGATGGCACATAACAACAGCAACAACAACATGATGTTAGTGATATTATTCAGTAACTCCCATCTTCTTTCAGTCATTTAGTTGGCCAAGTAGCTGTCTTCTAAATTTCTTGGCATAGACTAGTGAGCATGTTCAGGGTTGCGTTTGTTTGTTGAATCATCTCAATTACTGGGGCTTTGTGGTTTCTTTGGGTTTTTTGTTTTGTTTTGCCAATGTCTTCAGTGCAGTTTGGACTTCTTCCTTCATGACTCTTGGTTCTTGACCTTAGTTCTTCCTGGAATGATTTGGTGCTGACTAACTCTTTTTGGCACAGCAATTCTATAGTCCTTCCACCTCCTTTTGATGCTTCCTGCATCATTCAATCTTTTACTCATAGAAACCCTCAGTATCACAACTCAAGGCTTGAATTTGTTCTTCCATTCTTTCAACTTGAGAAATTCTGAGAGTGCTCTTCTCTTTTTGTTTTCTACCTCCAACTCTTTGCATATTTCTTTATAATATCTTGTTTTGTATTCTTGAACTGTCCTTTGAAATATTCTATTCATCTCTCTCACTTCCATATTTCTTACCTTTGTTGTGGCTTCTTTATGTTCCAGTGTAAGTTTTAGTCCCTCCTTACATCCACTTTGATTGTTTAGTTCTCTTCTATGTAATAAACTTTTTCTTTCTTCCTGGATAATATCCTTGATATCATCCCATAACTCCTCTGGCCTTTGCCCATTAGTGTTCAACGCATTAAATCTATTCTTGAGATGGTTTTTAAAATTCAGCTGGGATAGACTAAATGTCTTATTTTGGTTCTTGTGGGCTTGTTTCCACTTTCTTCAGCTTTGATTTGAACTTTCACATGAGTAATTGATGATCAACTCCACTGTCAGCCTCTGATCTTAGAGACAAGGACGGTGAAACGTTGTCTCGCATACTTTGGGCACATTGTCCACAGGGGTCAGTCTTTGGGAAAAGAGATCACACTAGGAAATGTGGAAAGTCAAGGAGAGGAAGACTGTCAACAAGTTGGGTTGACATAGTGGCTGTAACATGGACTCGCGCGTATCAAAGATTGTTGAGGTTGGCACAGGACAGGGCAAGTTTCCAAGCTGTTGATTGTAGGGTTGCTATGAGCTGTAGTTGATGCAATGCACATAACAACAGCAGCAGCAATCTCCTGTATTTCTACCATCTGAGCTTTATCCCTGAGTAAGTACTGCCTTTGTGATCTCGTGTCATTAAGTTGTAAGAGTCTGGCTTGAAGTTGAGACAGAGGTTGAAGTCAGTTCTTGACGAAGGGCAGCTAAGGAGCATGGCCTCAGATGCCCCACCGACCTCTGCAGCAGGTAAGCCCGGTCGTTACTGTGGCTTGAGCTTTGCTCTGTGGTCATCTCCCACTCTTCCCAGGACTTTCTATTGTGAACCCTTTTGTATTGGTCAGTGATGGTAGCTGGACACCTAGTTTTTCTGGTCTCAGGGTCATAAAAGTTGAGGGGTTCTCTATTAGTGACATCGATGGCTTAGTGGTAAGAAAATGTGCTGCAAATCCAAAAGTTCAAATCCATCAGATGCTCACAGGAGATAGATGGCCAGTCTTCTCTTGTGCGATTTACTGCCTTTGAAAACACACTGGAGGGTCAGCTGTGAGTTCATTCTAACCAACAGTACTAAAAAACAACAGTGGCATGAACTAATTATTTCCATGTGGTTTTGATTCCCTGCAGTTAGACGATGTGGCTCTACTAATGGATTCAATGTTGAAGTTCATGCAGATGGCACAGGAGTGGGCAAGAATCTGCTCTGTTGTCCGTAGTCACCTCGACGGCCCATAACAACAAATCTTTGTAGAAGTTGATCACCACGTCTTTCTCTCATGGATCTGCTGGTGAGTTAGAGGCTCCATCTGGTTATCAGCCAAGCTTAACTACTGGGACACCAAAACTCCTTCAATCCAACCTCTGTCCATTGCCCCTGAGTCAGTTCCCACTGATCTGTGGAATAGCATAGAACTGCTGTCAGGGATCTCTCCAAAGTACTGGAGAGCAATGAGACTAAGGTGCATCTGGTCCAGCCCATTGTCTTTGCAATGACTTGCAATGCATCAGAGAGCTGGGCGATGACTAAGAATGACAGAAGAATTGAGGCTTGAGTTGAAAAATTGTGGTGCTGGAGGAGAGTGTTGAACATACCATGGACCACCAGGAGAACAAAAAAAGTCTTTCTTGTAGAGGGTGAAACAAAATTTCCTCTTGGAGGCAAGGATTTTGAAGCTCTGTCTCACATACTTTGGGCATGTGGCCAGGAGGGACCAGTCCTTGGAAAAGGACTTCATGCTTGGAAGGGTGGAGGGTCACTGCAGATGAAGAAGACCCCAAATGGGAGGGATTGACACAATAACCAGAGTAATAAGGGTAGCTGTGTCAGAGACTCATTGGCTCAGGATAGGGCAAGGTTCCAAGTTAGTGTGCATAGGACGATTATGAATCATGTGTGATTTGATGGTACATTACAACAACAACAACAACAACTACAACATTTACAGAAGCCAACCACCTCCTCTTCTTCCTCTTGTGGAGTTACTGATGGGCTCGATCCAGTGACCTCTTAGTTAGCAGCCCAGAGCTAACCATTGTTCTATCAGCATTCCTTAAATGTACCCATGTACTAAGTATCCAGCTTTCCCTGCTAGGAATATTTTACTATTGGAGTAACATTTTATATGACCAATGTGATACACTGTAGAAACTAAACCAAGATCCACTCCCATTGAGTCAAACATTAACTCATGGAAACTTTCCAAAGCTGCAAATCTTTATGGGAAGAGATTGTCCATCTTTCTCCTTCAGTTGTTGTTGTGTACTGTTGAGTGGGGACCAACCTACAGGTGACCCTCCAGTAGGTTTTCAGAGGCAGTTAATTGCACGGGAGGAGATTGGCCATCCTTCTCTCGTGAGGCAGCTGATGGATTTGAACTGCATGGCTTCGGGATTGCAGCGCAGCTTCTTACCACTAGGCCACCAGAATTCAGTCACTGGCCTGCACGTAGGGCACTGTGTCACTAAATTAAAACACAAGCTTTTTTTTTTTTTAGATTGTTGTACATTTTACCATGTCTTTTCTCTGTCTTGGGGACCCTTAATAGTGTGGTATGTATGTAACTTGTCAGACTGTAACTGACACATCAGTGGTTCAGATCCACCAGCTGCTTTGAGGGAGAAAAAGAAAACATTCTTCCTCCATAAACACAACCTCTGAAACCTAATGGAGGGTTGCTGTGAGTTGAAGTGAACTTGATGGCAAAGGGTTTGCTATCTCAAGACCCCATCCAGAATTCCGCTGCATACGGGGTCCACCAAACAGCAGGATCCCTGCAAACTCCTGAGGGAAGCTGCCCAGTGCATTCAAGATTCAGGGCTCCAAGGGGGCAGGCAGAGAGCAGAGCAGGGTGGGCTGGGATGAGGGCAGGCAGGCAGGAGAAGGGTATGGGTGGCTGAGGTGGAGAAGGGGCAGGCAGTCAGGAGTAGAGTATAGGTGGGGTGGGGTGGGGAGGAGGCAGTCAGGGAGACAGCAGGGCAGGGGCAAAATGGGGAGGAGGTTGGAGGCCCATGAGGGAGACAGAGGATGGGATGGACACAGACAGTGGTCAGTCCCAGGAGGGGAGGACAAGAGACGGGATCCTTGTAGGGTACTGGCCTCTTCTGCTCTCACTGCCTCTGCTGAAGGGGCCTCTGATTTCAGATAACAGCCCTGCAATGGGCACACAGATAGTCCTAGACAAAGAGCTCACAGGGACCTGGGTCCACATCCTGCCAGAGACAGTGATGCCCCCTCCTGGTAAAGGATACTAATCCATTTCCTTCCTGTGCTGTTTCTTCCTATGCCCAGCAAGGCTTCTTGGAGCACCCCACTCCAAGTTTGAGGGCACTGTAAGGGATGGGTGTCCAGTGAAGGTAACCCTCCCAGTGGTTCCCTCTCTGCTGAGAGCCGTGGCCATGGGCTTCCTGTGAGACTCCTGAGATGGAATAGCAGCTGTGGACATTGATTTACATGGCAAGTTCCAGATGCAGCTGCATCCTGTCCAGCAGCCACCCAGTCCTCAGGAACCTTCAGCTGAGGAAACCAGTGCTACTTACCTCCATGCTTATTATATAGATGGAGGTCTGGACAGTGCTGAGTGGTGACTTGAACTCCCCACACCATCTGGAATGGACTGAGGACCTTGCATGGCCCTGACCTGAGAAGCTGGGATGTGCCCCCCCCCCCCCCCGAGGGGTCAATCCCCTAAGGGTACCAAGATGAGTGCCTGGGTGGTAGGAACCCTTGTCACATGGGTCTTGTGTCTTGAGTCATCCTCCCTCTGGATTGGAGAGGGTATGCCCCTCCCACTCCCTTCTCCTCTGGAGAGATAAATGGAGAAGGGAAATTGGCTCATCAGAGAGTGGCAGAGACTGGCCAGGGTAGATCCTCTCTCTCTCAAAGACCCAACTCTCTGAGTGTCACTGTGCAGTGTTGAGACCCTAGACGTCTGAGGGTGGACTTACCCCTGACTCCCCTGAACCTGCCCTCTGCAGACCCCAGCAAGACTCACTCATCCCTCTTCACTCCTCCAGATGCTGACCCTTCTGGTGCTGGTGCTGTCTTTCCTGGCAGGCCTGACCCATGGGGCCCCTGGTGAGTCTTGGCCCTTGGGCATGAGTGTCAGAGACACCCTGGACTGTCTTGCATGGGAGGGCTGCACCAAGGCTGAAGTTGCTCCTAATCCCTGATGTCACCCTCTCTCTTACCCCCAGCCCCAGTCCTGGAGCGAGCAGTCATTGTTGGGGGGAAAGAGGCCCCTGCGAACAAGTGGCCCTGGCAGGTGAGCCTGCGGGTGCACAGGGAATTCTGGATGCACTTCTGTGGGGGCTCCCTTGTGCACCCCCAATGGGTGCTGACTGCAGGCCACTGCGTCGGACCGTGAGTACCAGGTGCATGGTTGGTGGGGGCAACTGGGAAAGGCTGTGTCCATAGTGGCTGGACCCCCAAGCTGGCCTCTCTCCTCTCCCCAGGAACATTGTGAACCCCTCAGTTCTCAGGGTGCAGCTCCGTGAACAGCACTTGTACTACCATGACCAGCTGCTGCCCATCAGCAGGATCATCGTGCACCCCAACTTCTATGCTGCAGAAAGCGGAGCTGACATCGCCCTGCTGGAGCTCCAGGAGCCAGTGAACACCTCCAGCCACGTGCAGCTCATCTCCCTGCCTCCTGCCTCTCAGACCTTCTCTCCAGGGATGTCGTGCTGGGTGACCGGTTGGGGGGACGTGAACAATGGGGGTGAGTGTCAAGGACAGTGGAGAGTTGTGGGAAAGGGTGGTCCCTATGGGGGACCCTACGCTTCCACCCCCTCCCTCGTCTTCTGCTCTCGTTCTCCAGAATCCCTGCCACCACCATTCCCCCTGAAGCAGGTGAAGGTCCCCATCGTGGAGAACAGTCTTTGTGACAACAACTACCACACCGGCCTCCAGACAGGAGATAACGTCCACATCATCCACGATGACATGATGTGTGCTGGAAACACTCACAAGGACTCCTGCCAGGTGGGGGCCCCCTGTGTCCTCCCCCACAGCCCTGCCTGCCCCTCAGCCTCTCAGCCAGCACTGACCTTCCCCGCCCCACCCCCAGGGAGACTCTGGAGGGCCGCTGGTGTGCAGGGTGAACGGGACCTGGATGCAGGCAGGTGTGGTCAGCTGGGGTGATGGTTGTGCCCAGCCCAACCGACCCGGCATCTACACCCGTGTCACCTCCTACTTGGACTGGATCTACCTCTATGTCCCCAAGGAGTTCTGAGCTGAGGAATGGAGCTTCCAGGCCCCTTGATCCCTTGCCCCTTTGACCCATATTGCAGCTTCTTGCCCAGAGGGCCACCCCATCCCACCATGTTTCCTCCCCAGGGCCTCCTTCCTACTTTGAGTCATCATCTGCTGCTGAGGTCCCCTCTCCTCCCTGACCCCACCTCTGCCCCAGGCCTTTGCCCAGGTAGCTGCGAAGGAGGCCTGCTCACCCCTCCGCAGTGCTGTATCTCATTAAAGTTCATGGAAAGCAGGCGTGGCCATGGTTACTATTTCTATTATTCTTCATTTTAATGAACGTTTACAGAGGCTTTGGATTTCCATTCATTCATTGTTGCACTTTTCTCCCTACCCACCCTTCCCCCCAGTTCACTCTTCTCTTTAAAAAGAAGAAGAAAATTCACTCTTTGAAAAGTAGAAGAAAAATTGTTTCATTGTTATACAATCCCCCCCACCCCAGTATACTCCACTATACAACGGTTACTATTTTTTAAATTTTATTTTATTAATTGTTTAAGTATTTTATTTTAATGAACATTTACAGAGATTTTGGATTTCCATTCATTCATTATTGCATTATTTTCTCTATCCCCTGCCCCCCACCCCAGTTTGTTCCTCTCTTTGAAAAGCAAAAGATAAACTTCTTTGTTGGTATACAATCCCCTGCTCCCGCAACCCCCTCCCACCCCCAATGGTTACTATTTCTAATGGAGGTGGAACCCTGTATCCAGGATGTAATGTTCAGCATGGCAGTGGGGTTTGCAAGGAGCTGATTGTCTTTGCACATGAGGTTCCCCCTCATAGCGTTCTCCTCACAGCTGACCACAGCATCACCTCCCAACCCTCCAGAGGGCACAGGACAGCCTGTCATAGCATGTCACTGTCACTGTTAGGGACTGTCCAGTGAACTCTGACTCATAGTGACCCGGTGTACAATAGAATGAACTCCTGTCCAGTGCTGGGCCTGATTCATTTCATTGCAGGCCTTCTTCTCTTTCACTGACCCTCTTACCTTAGCATCAGGGATCAGCAGCCCCGACAACAGGCACAAAGTCTCTACCTGGCCTCTGACGAGTGCACTGACTGCATTTCATCCAGGAACAGATGTTCAGTTTTGTAACTATATTCAGTTTTCCAGCAGACATTTGTGTTGTTTTTTTAAAAAGTCTGGGTTTTTAGGAAGGGCTGCCCCTGGCGCTCTTGTGTGGCTCCTCTGCCCCTGTCTGTGGGTGTGCCAGGGTGGGGGTCTGCTGGATTCCACGGTCATTCTAGAAAATGCCACTCCAAGCACACGGGATGGTGGCTGCCAGTCTCTGCGCTCACTTCTCCATCTTGGCACCCGGGAGATGACACCTCAGGAAGTTGTTTTGTTTTATGTTTTTAATAGATTTCAGTTCTAAAGCAAGGAGCCTGATGGTACAATCGTATATTCAGCGGCTAACCCAAAGATTGGTGGTTCAAACCCATCCAGCAGCTCTTTGGGAGAAAGACCAGGCCATCTGCTCCCGTACAGATCACAGGCTGTCTCACTGTCGCCACTATAAAGGGATCATAGATGAAAGTCCTGGACAGAGTGGCTGAAAAATGCAGAACAAAGCTCAAAAACATAACAATGGCCAGCCTCACTGGCCTGACGGGGAACTCTGGGAGCTTAATGGTAAAGAGTGCTGCTGCCAGCCCAAAAGCAGGTGGTTCAAATCCACTAGCCCCTTCAAGAGAGAAACCCGGGCCATCTCCTCCCACACAGCCACCGAAAACCCACTGGAGGGTCAACTGTGAGTCAGTTTTGACTCAACAGCACATAACAACTGAAGCAACCACGCCATTTAGACATTATAGGCTCCTAGTCACTCTGAACCTGGAACAAAACTCACTCCTGTGGCTCAGCTTTCAGACAAAAGACAGGAGGCACTCCCTCGGTGGAACAGTCAGTCACAGAAGAGCAAAAGGGGAGCACTGGCTCAGGAGGTAGGGAGTGTAGTAGGACAGAAGGATAAATGGAATCAAGCATCAGTCCAGGAAGCAGAAAGTTACAGCGTGGGGATGGTAGTGAACGTTATAAAACCATAATATGTATGAATGGTTGAGTGGAAAGCCAGTTTACTTTGTAAACTCTCGCTCAACACACACACAGGCTGTCACATCCTATGGAGTGGCTCTACCCTGTCCCACGGGGTTGCTATAAATTGAAAATCAACTTGATGTGCCTTGCAGCTGCATTTTTAGAGCAGTTTTAAGTTTATAGAAAAATAAAAGAGAGCCAAAAATCCAGAGCTATCTCAACTTCCTCCTCTCCATTTTCACATCTGCTATTTTTTTAAGGGATACATCATAGTTTTTACATTGTTGTATTGTCATTGGTTTCCAGTTGGAAGCAAATTCTAGTTGACCCTTAAGTATTTTCAGTCAGTAAATTGTGTGATAGAAAAGCGTTCATCTTTCTCCCTAGAGTCGTTTGTAGATTCGAACTGTGTGCCTTTGGCTTGGAAGTACAATTCTTTGCCATTAAGCCACCAGAGTGCCCTCTCACATCTGTTATTTACGCTTTGTATCTCATAGGACATTTGTTAGGGAGTTCTGGTGGCTTTGTGGCAAGACGCTGTGCTGCAATTCTGAAGGCACGTAGTTCAAGGACACCAGCGGCTCTGCAGGAGAAGGATGTGCAATCTTTTCCAGTCGCAATTATCTGCCTCTGGAAACCCACTGAAGGGTCAGCTATGGGTCAGTTCTGACTCTACAGTTACATAACAAGGACAGTAACAGGACATTTTGTTACAACTGAGGAATGTACACAGATACATTGTAACTCCCCGGAGAACTGCACTTAAAGCAGGCTTCACTGTGCATTATAGTCCTGTAGGTTTGACAAATTTGTAGTCATGTGTCCTAGGTATCAGGTAGAATAATCTCATTACCCTAAACTGTCTTGGGCATTCCAGTTCATAGTTCCCTTCACCCTGAGTACTGTCATCCTTCATTGTTCCCTTTTTCTATAATTTTTTTCCTTTTTATGCATGTTTTAACCTTGAAGTCTTCCAAGGTTTTTTAATCCCAAAGAATCCATTTTTTACAAGAAGGTGTCACAGGGCTTTTCATGTGTGTGTGTGTACACACGTATGTGTGTGTGTTGCCAGGCAGCAGAGCAGTCCTGGGGCCAACAGTCAAGGTTTACCCCTTATCTGACCCAGATCCCTGATAAACAACGTCCACTCAGGCTGTGACAGTTGATAGATAAGGAGTATCATCTCTAATCAGGGAAGCAAGGCCATGTGTCCACAGCGTCAGGCTGAGTTAGACATGGGGTCTTCCAGAGTGGGAGGGAGTTCAGGTGGTCAGGTCCCTGCAGACAGACCCAGATCCCCACTCCAGGTTTGGAGGAAGCTGTGGAGTGGGGCACATGTGGGAGAAGGACTCCCAAGACTAAAGGAAAATGGAGCTGAAAGAGGTAGGAAGTCTGGGATGCATCCCTTCTCTCCATAGGCAGCATGAGGATTCCAGCCTAGGGAAAGGCCTGGGATATGGGCCTCTATCCAGGTTCACACTGCTCCCACCTTCTAGGCATGAGCTCCAAGGATGTAGCTGTCATGGGAGGACCAGCCATTGGCGTTCACTGTTGGCCCCACACTTGTGCATGGATGGGGTGTCCATGACCTCTCATCAGACTAGAGGATCAATATGCTCTGATTGCAGTTGCTGGCCAGGAGCCCAGGGCCGAGCTGTGCAGCCACATCATGGAGAATTATCAGGTGCTCCTCCTTGTGACTCAGTTTCTCCCTGAGAGAAAGGCCCTCAATGAGATGGTCACCACCTGCAACAATGGATTCAAGCACAGCAGATATTGTGAGACGTGGATGAGAGAGCAATGGGCTGGACACCGCTTTGGGCAGACAGAGGGCACCAGGCCACAAAGCTGTATGACTGTGCCCATCTGCTCTGGTGTGAGGTCATGGGACCAGGGGCGGATGTAGGACAGAGATATGGTAGGAGTAGAGGCCTTGAGACACTAGCTATAGGGACAGGGGACACCAGCTATAGGGACAGGGGACTCCAGCTATAGGGACAGGGGCAGTCTGCACCTTGGACTGTATTTTTTAAAAAACAATACATATATAATAAGTATGCGTGGAAGGAGGAGTGGAGTCCACTTCCATAATAGCTTGCCTCCGGAAACCCTATGAACTTGGAGAGAGGATGAAAGGCACCCAAACATCAAGGACTCTCCTTCATAGGGTCGCTATGAGTCGCAGGCGACTCATAGCGACCCTATGTACAACAGCCCTAAACTCCGCTCTGTCCTGTGCCAATCGTACTGTCTCTGACACTCCCATCCCAATTATCCCAGTCACCGAATCAATCCACCTCATAGAAGGCCTTCCTCTCCTGCGCTGTCCCTCTCTAAGGACCGGTCTCTCCTCACAACATGTCCAAAGTATGTTAGACGGAGCCTCAGAATCCTTGCCTCCAAGGAGCTACCCGGTTTAACCCTTTCCAGGACAAATCTGTTTGTTTTCCTAGGAACAACATATAATAAGCATAGATATATAACACATATAATAATATAACAATATATAACAATAAAGATAATAGATAACAGATAAGGTAAATAATAAATACAAGAAATAAAATAAACATAAGGAATGCTACAGAATAAATCAAATATCTAGGACCAAAAAAGGGAATTCTAGTGGCCTAGTGGTAAGGACCTGTGCTGTCATCTCAAAGGCATGTGGTTCAAATCCATAAGAGCAAGATGGGCAATCTCCTCTTATGCAATTTACTGCCTCTGGAAACCTTTGGGAGGGTCAGCTATGAGTTGGTTCTGACTTGTTGTACATAGTAACGACAACAACAACAGGACAAAAAAAATATATAGGCATATATTTCATAAAATATTGGTGGTGAGTGTGCTGCTCATGGAAAAACTGGCAGTTCAAATCCACTAGCCACTCCATGAAAAGAAGATTGCTCTGAGAAGTCTCCTCCCATAAAGATGTACAA